GCAAGGAACACAATTTGCAATATAATTATCAATTTTATCTTTAAGTTCACGTGTGTAAAATTCTTGTTTGATGAGTTCTTCAGTTCATTTAGAAGCGAAATGCCCACGAAGATGTGTGTCCTTAATTATATCGGTTTGCACTGATTCTGGAACAACAAGTAGTTCGTTACTGTTTACAGATTTATAAAGTATATCAGCTTTAACAAAATAGTAAACATAAGGTTCAATTTTTAAGACTTTCTTGATAGCTCGGATGTGATCATTTTGCACTTGAGCATTTCGTATTTTTAAACTAATGCTTTTTTGAGTGATGACCATAACAGGGCATCTGCTCAATCAAAAGTCTTTAGAATTTTTTGAAGCAAGAGATGTGAAAATGTGCAGTGCCCTTTCCGGGACTCGAAACTGGACCTCAAGAATACGCGCTAAGCGTGCTAACCGTTACATTACGAAGGCATGCAGAGACGGGGGAGAAAATACCTTGTAAAATGATTAATATAACTATTAAATTTAATACCATAATTATATTCCTTTAAATCTTTCAAGTAAGAAATGCTTTTGCGTGGTTGATTTTCATGGTTTTTTAAATATGTGATGGGAATACGATCCAGTTTTCCTTAAAAAGTCTTCCATATAAACATCTCTCCTTTCAGGTAAGCAGCCCTTATGTGTTTTTCTATATTCAAGTAACCAAACCTAAACTAAGAAATATTTTTCTCTGACTGAATCTCTTAATAAAGAAATATGGTTTTGTACATAAAAACGCTCCTAATTTACGGAAGAAAAAATCTAATCTAATAAATTGTGGAAATAACCTCAGAAGTTTATGTGAAGGAAACATGTGAAAAAGTTCAGCTCTGTTGTAATGTAATATGCCATTTGTAAAATTATAATACTTAAGTATCTTATTAAAGAAAACTAGAACTTAATTATGGAAGTATGACTTCATTCGTAATGCGACGCAAAAGTACAACGCATAGAAATAAATACTAATTAATTAGTGTGTAATGTTCCGCACTTCCAACCTTCACGCAACAATAGTGGTGACTGCTAAGAACTGGAAAGTAGACCAAAGTCTTGAGAAGGGTTTAAATCCCTTTTTATTCAACTTTAGAAATTACAAATGCGTGCTCTTGACGCTCACAAACTACGCCGACCCGGCGGTAAAATAAAAATAAGAAACTAAGAAACGAATAGTAACAAGTGACTAACTACGAGGCTCTCTAAACGTAACTAACCTCACTGCGTTCTAAGATACCGCTGATAATTCAGCAAACTTCTGAATATTATGTTGAAAGATTAACAAAGTGCCGAGGCAAGCACACAGGCCGAAAAGCGTGGTTCTTCAATTTCTAACTAGCCACCTCCACGCTCGTGAAGCAAGAAAGCACACCTTCGAACTCGTTTCCCTTCTATTAACTCAGAATACTTCCGCTGACAATTTGAATCCTTGCGCGTTCTACTAAAATTTACATACTCTGGCATTGACAATTCCAGGGGAAAGTAAGGCTTGACAGGAAAGATAGTTTAAACTTAAAATAAATGTTAGTTAAAATAAATATAAACCCTACAAGTGATAATGTTGAAAAATTGTAGAGCGCTATGCTGTAACTGTAAATACTGTAACCAGATGCATAAAATAAATTCCTTTTCACATTATCTTTTAATATTAAAAGCAACAGAAATTGAATTATATGTACTAAATAAAATTTACTCGTGAAATTAAAATTTCTAAGCAGTGAGACGAAAATGAGAGTAAGCTTTTGCTGATGCCCTTGCTACTCCACTCTTGACAATACAAATAAAGGTGAATCGATTGTCAATTCATTATTTCTTTTTGTTCATATTTTTTAAATTATACTTTCATTATTATATATTAATTATTACTGATATCATTGAAATTAATATCCAATAAACAGGGTTTACCTGAATATTTAGCAGAGACAAGATATTCAGATAACACATAGAACAGAACGAAAAATATGGTCGCGAAAATCTTCAGCAAGCCAGAGAAAGCTCTTTGGTCAGTCTCTGTTGATAGCAATAGATACGATAGAAGGTGTATTTATTCACCGCAGAATAAAGTTCAAGAATTTCTAAGTATCACACCAGTAAAAACACGTTATTAACTGTCAATATGTATAATAATAATAATAATAATAATAATAATAATAAATTGTAAGCTATTAATTAGCTTAAAAATGATTTCGAAAGGTTTATTGAAATATTTAACAATGAATCTGGAGGGCAAGGTCAGCGCACAAGAATACCTCCTATTAATGAAGAATTATGGGAGCAAAGTCAATAAAAATCAAGGTGGGGGGAGACTTAGAAATTTCTTCTTGTCACATTTAATGTTTGCTGCGATATGTATGTGACATCTGTGCGACATTTACATCCACATCGCATTGTGATATCTCTGTAACGTTATATCGTGGCCATAATGTAATGTGACGAAAATGTAACATTCGAACGTCATTGTAACCAGTGGCGAAGCGAGGGAGGCAAGGGGGTGTATGATGCAACGGGCGCCACTCGCAGAGGGGTGCCAAATGGTCTCCAAACAAGATTTTCTCGAAAATCTCAGTTTTTATTTTGATCGATTTCTGGAAAATATATTTAAAAATTAATAATTATTGTAATATAATTAATTATTTAATTTCTTGATTTGTCTGATAAAATGTGTAATAAAATGTTTGCAGTACATCAACCAAATATCTCAGCATACAAAACGTTTTTTCTGACCACTTTTATTTCTCTAAAATAGAGATATATTTTTAGTTTTTTTTAAACGAAATGCGCATATAGCCCCCTTTTTATTTTAAAACAATAACACAACCTCGTCCCGAATTTCTCAAAAATAAAAAGTTTCCAAAAACAATTCCGCTACTATGGATTTTGTTTGACTCTTCCCGTAAAAGATTGATGGCATTCCTGACTTCAAATAAGTCATCTTGCTGAGACATCGTATATTCACTGCTACAGAGAATTCAACGTATGTCAATTGTTTTTATCTCCTAACTACAAAAGGAATGCTGCAGGTCGCTTCTTACTCCTTATCTAAAACGCATAGTTTTCGACCTCACAGACAAAAATTTGCATATTCCCAACTTTGTAAAGGTTATAATTTTCCTTTATAATCTCTTCTATTTCCTTTTGTTAAAAAGGTTGTCGATTATATGGTTATTTCATACCGAATTTACAATATCCCCTAATTATTTTGAGCAGTGAATGTGACTGCAAGATGTTACTCCGCAGTAGAAAAGAAAATGAACCTAAAATTCCATTACAAATCTATGGAGAAAATGTTTTCCCATACCTAAGAGTCGCACTTCAAATACTCCTTACTATTTCATTATCAAATGAAATACATTCGTTCATATACATATTCGTACTATATACATTCGTTCAGCAAATTAAAATAAATTTTGACTATTTACTGTCAATGGTAGGACAAGATCCTTAAGTCATCTAGCATTTTTAAATACGAAAAGAGAAAAATTTCAAATGATCGACTTTGATGAACTAATTGATAAATTTGCTTCATCTAAGACAAGAAAGGTGTATACATAGTAATTAACTGTATTACTGTATTATAATATTGCATTATTATTAATAAATACATCTACTTATCTAATAATGTATATTAAACTTTTAATTATTTAAAAATTGAACCTTTTTAAAAATGATTATATTAAATATGTAAAAAAATAATACCTTTTTAACTAATTCCAGATCATCGTATGTCTGATTTTTCAGCCCACACAGATAGATTAGTTTGGCGTTGACTATTCTTAACATATTTTAGAGTATTTTATGGGGGATTCAGCATTTTATTATTATTTGCATTCTTTTATTATCACGAATATACTCTATAAGGTATTTCTCCCGCTTTCTTGGGATGCCTTCGTGGTATGGTGGTCTGCACGCTGAGCGCGTATTTCCAAAGGTCCTCGGTTCGCTTCCAGGCGAAGCCGTTGCATATTTTTTCTCTTTTCTGCTTCCATCAAATCCTTATGTCTCTACAAGTAGCGCTCTAACTAAAAGGATGGTGGAGGATGACTCTCCTCACCAAGGATTTGGCGATTGGGTCCCCTAAAATCTCCAGTCACCCTTTAAAAGGAGAAGTATACAAGGTATTTCCTCCGCCTTCTTTGCATGCTTTCGCGGCGTGGTGTTCTGCACGCTGGGAGCGTATTTCCAGAGGTCCGTGGTTTGATTCCCGGAGAAAGCGTTGCATATTTTTCCTCTTTCCTGCTTTCAAAAAAATCTTAATGTCTCTACAATTCTATACATTATATTACTGTAAGTGTTTTATTTGGGGGGGGGCACCGAAATAGGTATTTTGCCCCGGGCGCCAGTTATACTCACTACGCCACTGACTGTAACGTCACTGCAATTAAGCGTGCTATATTGGTTGGTACTACCAATCAGTCAACTACGCTACTGTTTCTACCTTCTTCAATAGCTCAGGACTTGACTTCTCTTACTTCAACTACAGACACGTATATAACAGCATGCATTTTTCGGCCCTCCTATCGATTTGAACCAGAAGCAACCCAGAGAAATGAGCTGCGTATCAAATACTATCCACCTCAAGGACTTTATCTCATACATTCTGCAGAGCAGATGCTATTCATATTTCTTAGCATGTGATTTTGAAATATTTGCCATTTATTGTACTAGATTAGGCTTCTGCCTCTCCCAACTTCACCATCAAAGCAATGTTAAGGCATAGAAAGTTATGGTCTAAATAATGTACTTCTACCCCCAGAAACCTGAATTTAATGACTCGTTGACCTTAATAAATTTAGACTTTCAGTATTCTTGACTGCTGAATTTCAGTAAAATAGTCCTCCCCCTTATATATTTTTAGCAACTCCAGGTCTGGAACAAAGCCTTCAAAATATTATTCTAATTCATAGTTAACTTCTACTTCTTAGCTGAGAAATGTTCGAAATTCAGCTGGTTGGCTGGCTTTTAAGATTTTGTGACATCATGCGCCAGCTATTGATAGCGCATGAGTAGAGGTTTTGCATTTGGGTGTTCTAGTAAACTGTGCTGAAATAAGAGCCGTAGGGGTCTAGTTACTAAATATTATAACTATATGTGTCAGTCACATTCTTGTATTTAATAGATGGTGAAAAAACTCTTCTCCTAACATGGCTAAACAAGAACAAGTCTTAATTTTAGAACCTTCTTCTGAGCTTCATTTTACTGGCAAGTTAAGATATTTATTACTGTTCTTTTAGAAGCCATATTGAATTTAATTTGAAATAAGCGACGTTATTTAAGAGGTTTTTTTTTAAATTCCTTCTGATAGATTATCGAATTTAATATTATTTAAATTGATTTGAAATTTTACAAACCTGGGGACTTTGGTAATAGCTGTCAGATCTGAACTGGCGATCTCGATTTCTCATCACGTGTACAAAATATGTTTTACTTTCTGAGATATATGTGAATATTAATATCGTTTGCCTTACTTATTAAAAGCTATAATCTGATTCAAAATGAAGCTTATAATTCGCACTTAGCCCAAATAAAAGAGATTTCGCTTAGTCAAAACTTTGTGCTTATAAATTGTGTCTTAAATTATATTTTAATGAATGTGTTGAATGAATAATTAATAATATCTCTTTAATTTAGGTCCATTTACGGATGTAGTCACATCATACATCAAACTGACGAATCCGTTAGATTGCCGTGTTGGTTTCAAAGTGAAAACTACAGCTCCCAAAAAATACTGTGTTCGACCTAATGGTGGTATTCTACAGCCTAAACAAGTAGTCAATGTCCAAGGTGTGTGACGTTTAGCAGTTTTTTTTCCGATTTTAATTAATATTGCACTTTATGTGTGTACAAAATGCATTGTATCTAATTAGAGTAGGTTTTAAGATGGTTTTTATATAAATTACAGCCTCAAACTGAATATTTACACATATATCTATCAAGCACAATTGTATCCTTATAAATTTTGCATTTATGAAATTAAGTACCTGAAAATTTATTAACGTAAAATAAAGTTACCGAATAATATGCTTGGTAGTTTCTCGATAATCAGTGCATATTGATTTTTTGTATTTTATGCATATTTTTTATATTTGTACATTTACGTATGAAATTAGAGGTTTACAATAAAAGAAATACATTTTTAAGCAGTTAAATATGTATTTACCTAATTAGTATTGTTATGTGAAAAGTGAAGTAATGCGTGTGTTTGATACTTGCATTTAACATGAAAGATGCATGCATAGTAAACAGAAGTATTGCGAAACATCTTGTACTTTTCCAAAATTATTATCTTTTATGGCAAAATATCTTCATTCAGTTGTATTCAAAAATGCACAATTCAAATTTTCACTTGCTGTAAAAAAAGAAAAAGGAAGTATGTTCGTTTTTTCCTTTTCTTGCGAAACACCAATATTGTTTTCAAGAGTTTTAAAGTAAACTATACCAGAATTATGTTGCTGCTTGTTTCATGTATATTTTCTAGATTGTATTTTGTTGTATTTTGAATTTCTTGTTTGTGCTGTAAAAGAAAAGAAGCATAGTTCTTTTATTATGGATGACCGTTTTTGATTCAAACCCAACTTAAATAGGCAAAATATTTGCACCTGTTCTTGAACTTAATACTTTTGACACTGTTGTAATATATTTAAAGAGAGAAAGAACTGTTTCAGACAGAAACTTAATTTGATTCAGAAGCGAAGAAGAAATACATAGTTTTCAAATGAGGGTTGTTTAATTTAGAATAAGTCAGTTTTGATTTGATTTTATTCCCATTGGAATTTGGTTTCCAATTGGTTTATTTTAATGTTATGATTTGCTGAACCAATTAAGTAATCATCATGAGGGCTGTGTAAAAGTTAATAGATAAGGACCAATTTGGACATAGTTTACATACAGTTTTATAGTTGCATTTTTTGAGTACTTTTCGCGGTGCGCAATCAACGGGAAGTTGATTTGTCAGCACTATCCTTATCTTCAGGGCAGATGTTTTTATTTTATTTGGCTTATAATTCCTTACTAAATGTAGTATTTCATCTCGATGTACTCTGTCTTTGATATGATTTAAATCAAATTTCTCGTCATTATAAATATCACGAATACACATCAAATAGTTTTCTGGTTGCAATTTTCTAATTTCGACTATGCGCAATGTATGCTTTACGCATGTGCGTTGAAAGAAATGTTAAATAAAGTAAACAAATAAATATAAAGCTTTCTTTTTCCTTAATTTTGATACCCTTTAGATCATAATTGCTCTTTATTTCATAAATTACAGTTTTCATATTTTTAATTTTATAATTTCTGCATGCCATGTTACCAGATTTAAACTGATGATCTATAATTCGGAAAAACTGATAATCTGGAATCGCTGAAGTCCTGACGAGTCTGGATTAAAGACTTTAGACTGTATTAGCTTTATATATAGCACTATTCTAACATAGGTATTTTGACACAAAATCAGACTTTTTCTGAAATAACATACCAATTTTTTTACATATTTTGATTCTACGACTCAAATTACACCAAACTACTAAGTTTTGTGAAAATCGCATGAGTAATTTTTAAAAAATTAGCTCTTAAAATTTTAGCTCCTGAATGGTAATTGCATTTGATATATATTTATTAATATCTCTCTTTTATGACACGTTTTTTATTCTTCCTTTCGCATTTCAAAGTTTAAGTTCATTCCAAAAAAAATTCACCCATTTTTTATGATTTATTTTTAAAATTTGTATTTTTAAGTAATTTTTTAAATTTTAGAAAAAATTTTGAATTATAACCTATAAAAGTTTTACCATCATCTTAAAGTAAGTGTATTTGTAAGCATACCTACAAAAAATTAGAGTTTTTTGGAACTACTATGATATGCCCCTTAAGTCGACAAATTTCTCGCCAAACATTTTTAGCTAGAAACTCCACGCTGCCATATTACTATCTAAATTTTTTGTCTACATTTCGAACTTTAAGCCTAAAATGTCTCCAAAAACGCGGTTTTCGCACATGCAAAAACCACATTTTGAACACACAATTTAAGCTAAAAATTCGACACAAAAACAAAAAATTTAGATAGCAAAAACAAAAAGTTTCAAACCAAAAATATTTGACAAGAATCCATGTACACAGCGATATGTTTTACATCTACGAATTAAACTAAAAACATCTATGAATTACAAAATATAGGCAGCAAAGGAATCTACGAACTACGGACACTTCACTTTAATAAATTAACATAACAATAAATTTCAAAGAATACCATGTACACAGCATCCTGTTTAAATTTTAAAAAAAATCTACAAATTGCACAATTTAGGCAACGAACGAATCTACGAACTTTAAAAAAATCCCATGTATACAGCGTTATGTTTCAACTTTAAAAAACATCAACGAATTGTGCAATCTGGACACTACGCACTAATCAACAAAATAAACTAAAATAAATTTCAAACAATTCAAAAAAACAATAACAACAGAAATTCATACTAAAAAAACAATGAACATAACATTCTACAAAATAAGAACAAGAATAAAATAAGATGCCCTTACCATGAATTAATGCTTTTTCAAACAGCAGAAATACCAATTTCATACCGCCTTTAACATGCCGTCACGTAATCACTATCGTATTTATATGACAGCCAGACACACTATTCAGAAAATTCATACTATGGTTCAAAATAATCACAAATGCACTAAAAACAATCTCCCAGACCTTCTTTCCACTCCTTCAAACACTAAAAATAATCTCCTAGACCTTTCCACTCCTTCAAACACACACTGACCCTTAACAAGATGGCCACAGTGATATTTCCTGTTGCCGAACTTCAATTGAATAACTTCCACCATTTTATCTTTCCCCCCTATCTTCTCAGACATAGATGCAAACCAATGAACTCCAGCAAAAGATTTTTCAACGTCAAGTGTTGCCATACAACACGCAATTGTGCCAAAAACCAGCACAGAACACATATCGCCGTATTTGGTGAAATTAGGGCATATATCAGAGTTGTACCAGTTTTTTTATTCAAAAGTTTCTAAGATCTACATGAATTTACATATTTTCGCACTTTGAAATTTGGCATCTTTTTTTTTTTTTTTTTTTGAGCAATAGTAACCCCAAATGTGGTTTATGGATTTTTGTTACAGTGAATTGCCACAGCTCTTTTTTAACCTTAAATTTCAAATAAATTTTTGCGGAGAAGTAATTATATGAAATTTTTTTCCTCAATGATGCATAATAAATATTTATTAATACTATATGAAAAACTTTTTTTTTTAAATTATGGCTAATATTATTCAACATTTTAACTTTTTTTTTAAAAATTTGTTTCTTTTTTCCTTTTTTAAAAAAATATTTGTAAGAGTAAATTTTTACCTTCGCCGTGTTATCGTCTGCTACTTTACTTTAACTTCATTTAAATTGAATTGTCTAAAACTGAGAAAGTTTGTTTGATGTTTATTTTCATAATGTTTTTTTAACAAACAGGACGTTGAGAGTTTGGGTCATGCCCCCAGCTTTAAAAAAAATTTATATAATATAAATTTTTACATTAATCCTCTTAAAGAATGTTTTAAGTAGTAATTATCTCTTGTGTTATAGATTATATAAAAAACATGTTCTTTAATATAGAAATTATTAGGCTTAAAAAAACAAAATAATATGATTTAGATTGTTTTGTACGGGATATAAGAACCGGGCCACTCAGTGGTACATGATAAGTGTTGCTGTAGTAATTTATTTCTTTCTCATTTAACAAAAATCTTTTAATTCAAATATTTATCCTTTGGAATTTGTACTATATAAAGTTTATTTATACAGTACAAAGTCAAAATCCAGACTCGTCAGGACTTCGTCGGCGATTCCGGATTTGGGATTTTTCCAAATATTAGGTGATCAATTTAAATCTGGTAAGATGGCATGCAGAAATTATACAATTAAAAATATGAAATCGTTATTTATGAAATAAAGAACAATTATGATCTAAAGAGTATTCAAATTTAAAAAAAAAAAAATATATTTGTTTACATTATTAAACATTTCTTTCAATGTAAGTTGTTTAAGTTGTTTCCACAAAAATTCAAAAAGTTCCTTTTTCTTTTTTCTCATGTCATATATAGTTGACTTTCCAATGCCATACTCCTATAATTTTGAGACGAATATGTCTTTATCCATTTTTTGCAGCAATTCCACTTTTTGTTTAATGGACATTGAAACATGGTTTTGCTTTGTAGCCTTTGGCAGCTCCAGAATCGGAAACTTTATTTGACATAATCGGAAGTTCAAGCTTAGTTTTTATAAAATTGCCATAATTATAACAGTCTGCAAAAAATAATGAGCTGGAACAAATTAGAAGATCAGGGAGCAGCGCAGTTCGCTACATTAACTGAAATGTCTTAGAATCAGTAAAGATAATTTTAGCCTAGCTTAATAGTGTCCGTTATACATTATTGGCTGTGTATCACAAGACTGGCGACGAAAGCCAAGTTGTTTCGCTTAATTTTGTCTTGCTCCTATTGCGTACTGAAAATTAAGCCTGAATTGTATTAGTTTTTTACTGTACCTACGTTTATTTCTTGCACATGCTTCAAACTAATCCGAGCTTCAAACTAATCCGAGTCCTGAATAAATAAACTTCCACATATACTTAAGGCTTTATCTAGGGCCGGCACTTGATACTGCCTGGTGCAGTCTCTACGGGTCCTAAATTCTGCTATAAAGTGCCTTCCTAAGCTCTAAATTTTCACCGCATTTAAACTTTGCATCCCAGTGCTTTCCCTAAATCATAAAAAAC